TCACAAATTTAAAAATGGTTAGATATTTGCGCTGACGTCACACATTCAGAGGGGTATTCCTAAGCATTAGCCCCTCTGAATCAAAATGCTGCAATTTTGAAATTCAATATTTCCGATTTAAGGCATTTCTCGATGTTGTGAGTGCCGAAACCGGTAATTGTGAGCCAGGGACCCCATTTTGGCTATCTCAACTCAAATCTAATGTTAAGGTGGGAGGGTCCCTTTAACCATGTCATATTGCTTAGCTTGTCATCCAGTAAGGCCGAGCTGGTTTTTTATTGTCATGGGGCCGCTGTTAATTTGTCATGGGGCCGCTGTGCTAATCGGCTCATAAGCATAAGCTTTATTAGGAAGGTCAAAACATTAGCGGTATACCGCGCCATTAATCCAGCTCGCAACACTGGTGTATCTGTACCGTCTGTGCGCTCCTATACAGGGACTGTCAGTCGGTATCAGCGGTGAATACGGGGTGCCATGCGGCGTCGGGGGTCTCTCTGAAACAGCAACATTTATCGTATGCATATCTGCATCTTGGATAGAGCAGCACGTCCGTGTTGCAGCCGCCGACATTGACACGGTGACTTGGCAGTACCGCCGGGTGGGACGCGGTAACGGCACGGCCGCCCCGTGATCCCGGCCGCCCTCAGCTCACATTGGTGGTTCATTGGTGGTGACGTCTTCAGGTCTGGTCATTCACGTCACCACACCGTCCCATCACGTTAAAAATAGAGACTCGCCCAATCCTCTGAGACCTCTGAGGTGCCAATTCACGCGCAGGTGTCACGGTGTCCCAGACCCACCAGTTATGGCGTATAAAAACACCCGCTACCCGGATCAAAACCATTAGCACGACCTCAGCACGGATGTTGTACTGGCATACGGTAAGGCCCTGCACAATCGGCTAAAAGCCGTGAGCAACCATCGCAGCTGTGGGCATAGGTGAAGAAACCTTATGGTTATGCATGGCTGCACAACAAACTTTGACACTCCGCAGGATAAAGCTGTTGCATCACTTCAGCATGGACCCGATCGTATGCGTCATGCAGCTCACAGCTGAGCCGGTTGTGGAGGCATGTCAAACGTTCTGCCCACGGCGAATGACGGTCATAATTCCCGGAATATCTGGATTCTTGAACAGGTCACAGGATATATTTTGCCGGACGGGAAGCGAAAAATTAGGGTGATGATTCCCAATTTTAGGGCGCCCGGACTTCAGCGGACATCGGCGCAACGAGAAATAAGGATCGTAGGTAAATGGTAAAATTACTAATATAGAAGACGTCGAGTAAGTAGGTTTCAGGGTGGTGAAGAGCGACTGAGAGCGGCGTCAGGAGGCGAGACAAAAAAAGGACGAATTGGTAAGCGAAACATGTAGGTACAATGAAAAATGTCGGGCAACGTTGACAGGTGCTTTAGAATGTGTTCATGCTTAACCTTCCAGGCAGTGGGGGGACATTTTTTTGCCCCCCCCCCTTTAGTTTTTTCGATATATCTCGAGAACCGCTGCGCCGGCCGCCGATCGTCACCAAACTTTCAGTACCCTCCCGGGAGCAGCTAGCGCACATGGTGACCAAAATTTTTTCCAAAGGCTATGATAGGTTGGCCGCTAATGACGTCAGAGTGACATCATTTTTGCCATTTTCGACCCAAGAAAAGGTTTCGCGGGGAGAGCTGTCAGGCCTACAGCTTTAGAGATACAGAAAAATGTTTTAGACATAAAAGGTGTGGAATCAAAAGGGCTACAAAACTGCTATGTCGGTTTTTTCGAATTTTTTGGGTTTTGATCCCCAAAAATCAAAAAATAGATTTTTTTTTAATATAATAGCCAAAAAATCCAAAAAGTTTTTGAATTTCGAAAAAAAACGGAATATATGTGATAGTCCCTAGTCCCTACCGCCTTCTATCTACATACCAAATTTGAGATCGATACCTCTTTTTTGGCCGAGTTATAGCGAAAAAAAACTGCTCAAAATTGATGACGTCAAATTTTCAAAATCAATTTTTAGCAATTCTAGACCTCGTAGTGCAAAACAAAGACCACCATTAGACTCCCCGTGACGAGCTGCATCGAATCAATACCCATTTTATGCAAAAATATCAACTTTGAAATTTGACCTTTTTTGACCTGACCTTGACCTGACCTCCACCAGAAAGTGACCTATACCGTACCTGATGGTCTTATAACCAACACCATTGAGTTGGAAATGAAAAACTGGCCATAAAACATGCATCACATAACCTTAGTAAAGTTGGGCTCATGTGGTGACCCTTGGTGACCTTTGGTGACCTGACCTGTGACCTGACCTGGTATGACCAGTGACATCTTATAGCAACATATGTACTAGACAACTGACGCCTTATCGCTGATTTTCGACAAAATGCGTTTTACTCGGTGTTATAGCGCTTTCCCTAGAAGCCCCGTGAACGGTGAAACATTTTATCTTTGACCTGACCTGTGACGTCATCGGTGACCCCGAGGTCAATGAAATTTGGTTTCCTT